CCTCGTAGACTTTTTACCAGGACATTTGAAGTTCATAGTAACTTCAAATCGAAGTTAAGAACTTGAAATTATTACTTTTTGCTCTCTTTCGAGGCCAGTTTCAATTGTTACGAAACGCGTAGTATTTGGAAGTCATGGTACTACTAGTAGTACTAGCTAGTAGCTAGTACTAGTACCACTAACTACTAGTAGTAGCTGCTTGTTAAAAAAGTCTGCTGACAAAGTTATACTACTACTAGTATTAGTGGGTGTCCAAAATTCACTTGTTAATTTTGCCTGTAATTTTGCTCAGAACTAAATGATACCACTACCACATCAAGAATGTGATGTTTGCTGCTACTACTAGTAGTAGTACTGTATCAACTTGTTCTTGGACAAGGCCCTTAATCACCTGGTGCTGGTGGTCATCTTCTAGGAGAGTTGCTATTTATAGTAAAGAAGTTCTAGCCTATTTTGTCACACACAGCAGCAGGTCTCAGAAACTTGCAAAATTCAGCCTGTTGATAATAGTACTAGTAGTACTACTACCAGTAGTAGTACTAGTGCTAGTGGTGGTATCTGCTGGCTGGTGGACTGTTAGTACTACTGCTACTAGTACTACTAGTAGTGGTAGTAATGGGCTCCTGTGCAACAAGAATGATGTAGGGCACTTTTCTGGACACTATGACTGAGAAAATCCTATTTGGAGCAGCTGTTTGGTTCTTGTTCATTTGATTTCACCTGGGATGCAAGATTAATTCAAAGAAAAATTTGACCAATCTCAAATAATATTTGGTACGTAGTAGTAGTACTAGTAATAGCTACATACAGCAGGCATGTGTACAYCACTAGTAGCAGTAGTTAAAAAAACCTAGTACTGAATCTGTTTATTTTTGCAYACAAGAGTAGAATTTCTAGTAGCACTAGTAGTACTATTAGTACTAAAACTACCTAATAGTACATATCGTACAGGTGTGGCCACGTTTTTCTGGCCAAAATAATCGTACATTTTTTCATTTAAGATATACAAACATGTATATCAATCAGTATTTATTGGACGCCGTACTCCCCACAGCGTTAGGAAGCTCTTTGAATTCTCTTTTTAACCATGTGCTTTCCATACTTAAGCATCCGTTGGGAAAAAGTTATAGCTGTTCAAGTGAGTTGAACCTCTCTTATTGCGCTACGTGTTTTTTGTACTGTGTGTCAATTTTGGGCTATCTTTTTACTGTGTAATGACTCGTGGGATTAAAAATTGACTTGTACTAGGSTTACAGCATGTGCATGTGCCAGCAAAAGTATTTGGCCACACACTTGTGGGACTCAAAAATTCAGCACGTGCTCAGATGTAAACTGCAGTACAAGCCCTTTTTTAGTCAAAGTAGTCATTGCACACAAATATTAGGGCCCAAAATGTACAATTTTATCATACATTTGGTAGCCAAGCCTATACGATATGTCAATTCATTTGAACAACAAATTTACTTGAACAAAGTTTAGATCCTTTTTTTGGATCCAGTTTTTTAGTATTTCTCCAGAGCTCTCTTTTTATGGTCTCTATGATTCCTAAGGCTGTGTTAGTAATAAGGATCCAGTTTTGAAGTACTATTTCTCCAGAGCTCTCCTCTTATGGTCTCTATGTTTCCAAAGGCTGCGTTAGTAATAAGGATGCTGTCTAGTACTGATTCTTTTGCTTCTTATTTTACTTTCCTCTATTACACAGTTTAGAGCAAAACCATGGTTCCTGTTCACAACAAAATGACTCTTTGTAATGCACAACCATACTACTGTCAGCAAGAAGAAGGCTTTTCCTGGAACACCTTACTATGATGAACTCCCTGGGAACTTTCTAGTTGGAGCCAGAGCAAAAATTGGAGAAAGCATTAAACTTGAGTTGGAAATAGCAATCTCAAAATTCCTAAAGAGGTAGAACTTCATAGTATTAATTCTATGATTTGCGACAAAGACAATTGTTCAACAACATCCCTAGTGATAGTAGTAATACTAATAGGTATGAGCAAAAAAGGCAGCATGGATGAGAAATAATTTTCCAAACACCTTTCCAAAAGTATTCTACCTCTTTACTTAGATGTTGCAGATAATTGGGAAGGTGTGATGATAAATATTTATGCAGGCAAAGATCAGAGTACATAGGTTTATTTTGTATCCATGTGTCCCCAATACAACAGCAATCGTGTCCTGGGAAATAGATGTGTCATATGGCATTTTCAAAAGCAAGTTCCAAGAAAATCCAATTCCAATCAATACTCTCCTCAGAATGCCTCAACTGAGATCTCTTCTATTGTGGCATGGGATCACCAGGAATGAAAAGGGGGGGAACATATGGAGCTGCAAGAAGCCCAAATACAGCCACCACCATATTAAGTAGAGTGATGAAAAGGAGGCATAACCTATCTGGTTGAAAAGAACAATTCCAACCAACATTGAGGACACGACAGCATAAGGTTGATATAACAAGAAGCTCCAGAAGAAAGCTTTCAGGAAAATGGTTTGGAAAATGACAAAGGAAGAAAGAAAAAACTTGGTGAGATCAGTAGACAATAACATTGATAGAAACAAAGAATCTTTGGCATCTTCCACACACTAGACTAATGGTGTAGTAGCTATGGTCTATCTTCTATGCTGCCTTGCTAGCTTTGGAAATATACCAGAAAATAACCCACATGGTGCAAGAAGAAGTACAGCCTCCATTGTCTTTCATATAACTTCTCAATCAAAAAGTTGCCTGAAAATAGTTTTTAGTASCTGGGTAATCCACAATCTGATCGTGCTCTTTTGATTCAGCTACTTGATTTTTCCCAGAGAGGGCTCTTTCTAGTTTTTTGGATGTTGCTAAAATGGCAATCATATTTTTGGCAACCTTAAGCAGAGTAAGAGTTACATACCAGTTCTCATCTCATGGCCAAGGGTGCTTTGGTTGTGGATACATCAGTCTGGCCATGGTAAATATGATGTTTTGTTAGCAATACTAAAATGTGAAATATCTGTTAGACTACTAGAATGAGATTGACACATTTTACTCGTCCAAGGAATACWCTTGTATTATTTTTGTACAGTGGGGTATTAGAAGAAGATTGCTTCAAACTAAACAACTCATCTTGGACCTGTCTCTAAATTGTAGAATAGACACTATTGATTAGCATTGATACTACTACTATTAGAAATACTTTGATTCTGTTCTTTGAGCTTTTCAGAGCTCATTCTCTATCAGTCATGTTGAGTGCAGCAGCMATGAGGATCAAAGACAAAGAAGAAGGATCTAGTGGTACACCAGCAGTCAAGCACTTTCTTATCACTAGTAGCTAGTAGTGATTTTTTGTACTATCAAGTACTACAAGTATTTTTTATTATGACAACATTACTAGTATTGCTAGTACTAGTACTTATGTCAAAATTTATTGTTGTGAATAGGAAGGTACCAATCCTCATGCTCCACAACAAAGTTTTTGAATTCTTAACAGAGATCCATTCACCAAAACTAAGCTCCTCCAATTCCGAAACAGCCTTGCTTGATGAGACACATAGTACTTTGTTATCAGGAACTTTCAGGGGGAATTCTTCATTATKGTAATTACAACAAGCTGCYTTTGCAAGTTCCTCATTGGACACAAATTTTGAATGGTCTGGTATAGTTCTGGGGGTGGTACTCTGCTGCATCAGTGACCACATAGTAGTAAGTTGTTTTGCTTTCAATGCATTGTAACTTTGCAAACAAGTCAAAAGTCATGTTTGTCTCCTAGAATATTGTCCACAGTCAGAAAGACTCATTTTTGAGAAAACATGTATTGAAAAACTTTTAAAACAGAGGGCTTGTTGGATCCAACATCAATTGAACATTTGAACTCTAYTAGGTACTATTGTCTCTACTCCTGCTGTATCTGATTCTTTGAAAGACCAAGACTGTAATCATGACCCTTTTTGTCACTGCAGACCCTGCAGACTTTTTCATGCTGTCAGTACAAACTTCTGGTGGTGTAGTTTTTATTCTCATTCTTTGTCTATTGGTGATTCGATGGGTTTGGGTCCTCAAATAGATGACAGAAGGGGGGATACCCACAGCAGCAGTGATAGTGTTTCCTTCATTAAAATGATACACCACCAGTGACTGCTGCCCTTATTGTTCCTGTCATGCTGCTGSTGGTCCCTGCAGCAGATTGTAGGATTTGTATTTGAATCCTGAAGAGGGATCAAAGGGGCCTTTTTGTTGTTGTTGCACAGTGTGCATGAGTTGAACATGTATCCATTCATGTGACAGTAATCATATTGTATGGGGGATTGCTAAAATATAACCGTTAATTATTTGTTAGAGCCGTGGACTAATTGTATCTTGTGATTAATAAAATTTAATTCAATGATTAAAAAAATTACTAAAATGTCAATTAAAATATTATACAATTTTATTAACCCGTCAATAAAAACTGGCGATTGGGCATTTCTACACAAAACAGTACTGAGTTGTGCTAATCTCATCAATTAAGAAAAATTATTACTTGTTTAATAAAATATGAATTAAATTTAATTAAGTTTTTAGTAAGTGCTCAATACAATGATTTATCATTCAATTTAGAAAAATTATTTATTGTTTAATAAAATATGAATTAAACTTAATTAGGTTTTTAGTAGTAAGTGCTCAATACAATTTATCATTCAATTAGCAAGAAAATTTAATTCATTAATTTACAATATTTTCTTGTTGATGCCTTTGGGAGTTATGTATTAAATAACAGTTAACATTAAATAATAGCTCACAGTAGACTTTAACAGTTCTGTGAACAGATAGAGGTTAATTTGCGTGCAATATGCAGAAACAGTAAAAAAGGGCTCCTTTGGTACCTCTCCAGTGATGGACACCAGTAGTGTACAAATGACCATTAACAGCAGATACAGAGTGATTTACATGTACTAGTACTACTAGTACTTGACCCTGAGACATTAAAGTTTGAGTACACCAGTTTTCTGTCATTGTACTAGTGGTATACATGCTGCCAAAACATGCTACCAATCCATCATCTCACCATCTCTTTCTACACTTGGAAACCATTTTGTAATTGATTCACAATAGTACTAGTGTGGTCTATCCAGTGATYTATCCTCCTATTGGGTGATACTGATTGTAGTATTGCTCTTCAACATGAAAATTGTCTGTAGTAATAGTGAAACCTTGCACAAACAAAGGGCACACCAGCCAGTCTCATGAACAGTGCAGTGCAATTCCTTATCTTTGTAGGCCATAAAAGGAGACAATACTTTGCAACAATAATTGTCTTCTAGTGGTAAAGAAGTTGGTGTTCATCCATCTCTGCACATGGAATTGAAATGAAAGGCACAATTTAATTTTTCTCTTAATAGTACCAGATGGAAGAGGTAGTAGTTTTACAGAGGGATAGTCCCAAGATCAATGTAAAGCTGCTGATAAACAGTCAAGTGATATATTATGTTTAGTAGTAGTAGTAACATTAAAGGTATTTCCAAAGACAAGGTAGTTTTTGTATTTTACAATGGTACAACTATATCACAATACTCTGATCACCAAGAAACATGCACAACCAGAATGAAGTTTGAATTCTGTGGTTCTTCTTAGTATTCATGTTCTTGGTTGGTTATTGGGGAACAAGGCAGCTGGTAGAGCAAGTTAATCTTATGTCAACTCTTGGTGTAAAATTAAAACCACATGCCAAAGGCTTTGGGCTATTGCTTGTGCCAGCATCATGATGTAATGACTTCTTGGTGGCTTCAAAATTCAGCCCTAATCATTGAGGAGTACAAAAATAATTTCTCTTGGGCTAGTGCAAAAACAATAATTTCCCCCAAAATTCATTTTTTGCATGCACATTGTTTGTATCAAACCAGCAAGAACAGAGAGAGGAATACAGTCAACAAGTTTAGATAACCAATGCAATGCAACCCTTCCCACAAAAGGGGAACAAATTGGTAATGATATCATGATTAAAGAAAGCAGTGCAGAAAACTTCAAAGCAAAACACAAAAGAGGAATTTGGCAAATGGTTGTCTGCCTATGAGAAGGAGGAGAAGGAGGATACCAAGAATGCTGCCCACAATGAAAAGGAGAGACAGGAGTATTCCAAAACATCCAATCATCTGGTGATAGTGGTAGTAATAAAGAACATAAGTACAAGAGCTTATGATCCTCTAGTATACTGGCAGCAAGAGTCAACCAGAGGCCACAAGAAGAATGCCTACTTAAACTGATACATGAAGAGAATGAGAGTTTTCACATTTGTAGAATAATTTTCCAAAACCACACTTCTCCAAGTAATCTTCTGGATACAGCAGCAAAAGAGAAYGTCAATCTCTGCAAATTAGGGATTGGCAATACCAAACAAAATTACATCCTCTTAATGAACAAGTGCAACCTATCAATATTTATTGTATACAATAACCCCACCACTACCTTGTAATGATCARAATCACAAGAAGCAACAGTGCAGCTTCAACAATTATGAATGAGACACCAGTTCCAAGGCCGTTTTAAAATAATCMCAACCATTACTAGTAGTAGCCTGCAATGCACATGACTCTCACCAACCAGATCATGGCCACCAAGTAACACCCTAACTGCATCATGCTACAATAGAGACTCCAACAAAAYATTACTTTTGTGTACAATTTTAAATCACTGCTGTGATGCACTTGTATGTTTTGCCACTAAGATCCCTATCACCTTTGTCCTTCTTTTGTATTTTATTTTCATACACAATGATSTATTTTTATGGCTGGTGGTGATGGCATTTGATCCCCTTTAGCTTTTCCTTCTGCCCAAATAGGCCCTATGTTGCTTTCATAATTGCTGTAACCAAGGCTTGTGTTATTGCTATTGCTGCTGCTATTGCTGCTGCTATTGCTGCTGCTGTTGCTACAGGACTAGTATTGTTTGGTAGAAAATCTTTTATGAAAGAGAAATCTAGCATAGAGCTAATTCAAGTGAGGGGAACAAACCAAACAACTCCGCAATTCTATTTGGTGCCCAGAAATGGCGACATAGTTACTACTACTTGCTACGAATGACTTGATTTTGGTTGCATCCAGCACCCATTTCAGATTAATAGTTTTAATGCATCCTCTAGTAGTAGAGTACTGCACTTCTATCACCTGCTGCTTTGAGAGTACGCATCATTCAGTATCTTCATCCGCATCGCTGAACCTACCTGACAAAATTTACCGATGTATTTCTTCTGAATTGCTATAGCGGCAAGGAGCTCGTGCGATTGACCACACGCTTTTGTGGTGCCTTCGCCTTGTCTTCTATCTTTCCTGTTAGATACACAGTATGTGCTTTCCTTTTCCACATAAAACTAGGGGTGGATTCCGAATGGTCACAGCGAGAGATTACTAAAACGATGTCGTAGAAAAGTAGAAGTATCTATTTTGTTTATCACACTGTCGTATTTTGTCTTCAGGTGGTGCTTTCCATACCGGATTCGTCCGACCTGTGTTTTCAATCACAATATTTATGTTGCAATCTCACTCGAGTGACTTCATTGCCGCAATGAGAGCTATCTCATGCGTTTGAAGCCTTCCGACAAAGTAAGGCATTGGCGTCATCTAAAGTAGCACCCAATGCCGAAAATTCTCTGAAGATAGTTGTCTCGTGGCCCGATGCGTCTTACAGTTTTCAACTGTCATTCAGCTATACCGTGTCCTCCTTATGGGATCCTGCTTCAGAGTTCTTCCAGATTGTTTGTGGTCTGTTTCCGTTCGTATTCCCGAGATATCCATTATTTGGAGGGTACAAGCTTTTGGTAATCATCTGACTGGAACCACTTTTCGAGCTCCGCAACCCGCCTGACAGGCAACGGATGCGTTCGTTGTTGCCGCTGTATGGACATTCGAACCAAAGGGTTTGCGGATTCGAGTTGGCGTTCGTAATCCAACGATTGCTCTATGAAGGCTTCCGTGTTGAGATCGTATCGCGAAGTTCCAGCAAACAGCTTCATCAGTGCGCTCGCTACAATGTTTGAATCTTGTGCCACGAGCAATGCGGCTCGGTCGCACGAGTATTCGGCAGCCAGTCTCCAGTCTTGCAGGGTGGAGTCAACCCGTGGACCCATCACCGGCAATCGACTCAACGGCGACGACGCAAGGTTTCCGAGCGTCAGATAAAGAGCGTGTTCACATTTGAGGTGTCCCAATTCATGCCCCAGCACAGATTGCAATTCTCGCGGCGTGCACCGATCAACCAGCGCCGATGTAACAACAATTACAGACGATGAATAGGGATTGCCGTCCTTGTCTTTTTTGCTGTTGTTTCGGGATTGCAGTGCCAGCGTGTAGGCGTTGGCTTGGGGATTCGACTGGACATAGAGTTCTGGTACAAACGTGGACGGAAAATTCAAGACAGTGCATGCTTCTATTAGCAAGTCATGAAGTTCTGGTAGCTGCTGGGGTGATACCTTGACGGACGAAGCCAGCATGTCTAACTGAACCCCCTGTTCGATCAAAGGGAATGCACGGCGAAGAGTCTCTTCCGCCAAATCGTAAAAAGGAGCATTTCGAACCAAGGATGTCAGCCTCTGATCTAGGGGGTGACGGAATTGATCGCTTTCAAGTGATGGAATCGGAGTTGGAGATTCCRACAAGTTAGGGTTGTCAACTACATCGTCGGTGTCTTCTCTGGAAACCCGAAGAAGTCCTTCAATCGAATCGAAGGTCGATCGGAGTCCTCGCCGCTTTCCGGCGTTCGCGAAGCCCTCGCATAAAAGAATCGGCGACACCAACACCAAAAATGCAGAAACGGCACCAAAGATTCGCATTGTCTTTCGTTGTTTACTAGCGAGTCGTCGAGAAAAGCAATGAATGCAGTGTCAACTCCGCCAMGAACAATGATCACGGAGGTGATATCGATGGTGATGCATTCATTATCGGCTCGCAGGTTTGAAAAATTCTGTTCGGAAAAATCGATTGTTTTTCTCATTCGCCATCTGGCGGATTTTTTGAATGAGTCATCTTCGTCGCAGTCTTTGGTCGAAGGAGAGCTTCTTTCTTCCAAGGATTTGCTCTCCAAAAAATCACTCCAGAAAAGATCGTGCCGTTCGTTCAAAAACAGAACGACGACACAGTACCATACGATTCGTACGTACTAGTACAAGTAGAGGAACAACCACTTCGTACTACTAGTAGTAGTATTGGGTCATTCCTGTAAACATTGAAATATATCTTTTTTGACCTGCTGGCTCTTTTTTATGTATCAAAATATATAAATTCTAGTGGTAGTGGGCCCACACCAACCAGGATCTGTGTATGGAGACATATTTTTTATTGGAATCCTTGACTGAACAAATTCAGTCTGGTGAACTGCTGGCGTGCACCACCACTACTACTAGTAGTAGTACTACTACCACCAGCAAAGACAGGAGTCACTTGGCGCCAAACCAATTTTTGATCATCTTCTTCTTCCTTCTTAAATCATATCTTTGCTTCCCCTCAACAAGAACAGAACACATGCAACACAAGGCAGAACACCACCACACTAGTAAACTACAAAAACAAGGAAAAACGAACAATGCATCACTGAAGAAGAGGAGTGTGCTAACCATGCTGATGATGGCTGGAGTGTGGAGCCCTCTAGTAGTAGTTACTAATAGTAACAAATGCATCCAGATTCTTCTGTTGTGGAGGATGAATGAGCTTGCTAAGAGAGGGAAGGAGCACCAGCACTCTCGTCTTGAGAGGGAAGACAGGGAGGAATGATCTCACCTTGAGAGGGAAAGCAGGGAGGAAGACCACCAGATATCCCAGATATGCATACCCGGCCCTCTGCTCACAAAAGAACAGGAGAAGGATTGTTATGGCTCCAGCTCCAGCAGCCACAGCCACAAGGCCAACTGTGCAAGAAAGAGGAGGAAGATCTAGTAAGGGTTGCATCAATTACACCATGAGGAGGAAGACCATCATGTGTATGCTGAATATCCTGAGGAAGATACTTCCAATTGGTCCAGAACAATGGATGATAGTTGTCGATACCCATGAAGAAAACTGGGCTACTGGAAGAGACAAGGAATCCATCACCAGGAAGTATGCTTCTCCTGCTGGGAATCCACTCATATCTCCAGCAATCAAGCTTGCAAAGGAGATCAAGTCATTGATTGGTGCCAAGGCCGCCATTGGAGATGGAGAAGAGGAATTTGATCTGGAAGAAGGATACAAGATTAGTGAGGATTCACCACTTTGGTGCTAGGTAACTATGATAACAACAACATTGGCAACAAGAACATGGATAGTCCTCCTCCTCTTCCACAGCCTTCACAACTTACTCAAGAAATGCTGCCAATGTGACTCAGCTTGGTGACAAGACACCAACTCAGGTGGCTGCAACTCAGATGGTGCAGCTTGCTAAACTTCATACTGCTCCAACTCAAGCAACAGCCCAATCGACTCAGCAAGCATTGATTGTTTCTGTTCCTCCTCAGAGCACTCCTTGCCCTCCCCTCAAAAAGAGAGCATAATTGAGAGGAGCAGCCTCCAGCCGCTCCAGCATCAGCAGCACCAACAAAGAATTCACATCCATGTTCCAGATGTCCATGAAGCACCACAAATTACTTGCTATTACTTGCTATTACTAAGCAACAAGAAGCCATAATAAGCATTGATGCAACAGTAAAAAGCTTACCAAGAAGCATCAATTCAACAGTATCAGCATACCTTGACAGAAATCAAAGATAGTATAGTCTGTGTCCTTGCCAGTGCTTTTGTCCCTGGTCATCAGAGGAAGAGGAAGAAGAGACAGCATGAGGACTTGTCCTCATCCTTGTCTTCTTCAGACAACAATTCTGTCTAATCCCATGGTTAAATACTAATTACAATTACTAAATTAAACTACTGTTTGCTGTTTGCTCCTCTTGCTGCTGTTAGCTGTTTGCTCTATTTACAATTTATGAGTACTCCTGAATAACAATGCAATACTGCTTCAAAATCCAGTCTATACAATACTTTGTGTAAATCAAAATTGAAGCAATCATGTGGGATTGCTTCTATGTGCAATGTGTTCCCTCTCTGTTACCAATCCTGGCTTTTTGTGGGAAGGTATCCATGAAAACCAGCATCACAAAATAACACAAGGTTAAAGTGGGGAAKGAACTCAAATAACATGGTGTATCGTGTAGGCCACTTTTTAGGATCCTCATTTAGCTCATCCATCACCCTTCCTAATCTTAGCTGGAGTAACTGGAGTACAACAATCTAACTGTAGTATCAATAATTGATAGTACTAGTATTAATCATCCATTAAAGAACTAAACAACATCAGTAGATAACTAAAACAAAAATTATCCACTCCACCATGGGTGGCAATTGACAGCAATCAACAATCCATTTTTTCTTTGACACAATTGGCAATCCACAAAATTGACAATGTACTCAGAACAAGCCGGAGAACAAGCTATTTGCATCCCCATTGGGCTGAAGTCTATTGTATAGTAGAGCTGGCCAGCAGATCTACAATACAACCATAGATTACATGCTATCTTTTTGCGTGTAGTGACTACTTTGACTAAAAAATTAAATACATACAAAATCCACGTGCTCAGTACTACTTGAATTTTTGAATCCCACATTTGTGCAACCAAATAGTTTCGCACACATGCTTAACCAACAATTTTGACTTCAAACACATGCAAATTGCTTAGTCAAAGTAGTCATTACATGGTAATTAGATGGCCGGTTATCCATGCACCGTACAAAATACACATAGAGAGTTAACTAGTAAGGGTCAACTCACTTGAACAGCTATAACCTGGTCCCCAATAGAAGCTTAACAATGATAAGTAAGCACATTAATCAAATCCCAGTAAAAAGACAAACTCAGTGATATGGGGGGTTACAGTGGGTTATTGAGTATTTTGTTATATTACTGTATGTATATCAATTATGTAAAATGTATGACTGGATTGTGTTTTTTTGCGTGGCCCATGCTATACAAAAGGAGAAGTATCCTATCTGTCTGCTGGCATAGGTTTCCCTCAGCTGTTGAAAGAAGGATTCAAAGTCACTCGTATCATCAACACCCACCTTGCTGCATTGATAATTATATAACAATAACAAGAGGTTAAGAATGATCTTCCTATCTCTGAGCTCTTCCAGTAAAAATATCTCCTCCATTCTTGGGAACTGCCCTTGAATCATTTGCATGCCCCATTCAGACAACTGCTGGACTGCTGTTACTTCCCTGTTAATTACAATAGCCTGGGTGTTCTCTTCCATGGCGGCAAAATTGTCAGGGTCATTCTGCTGGCTTTGAATGAGATATTTGGCCCCTTTGACTTTAAATGCKGAATTGACAACAAGCAACCCACCAATCCTGATATATATGGGCTCCAACTTGTCATATCGTATAGGCTTGGCCAGCTAATGTAYGGTCCCAGTCGTACATTTTGGGCCATCTTTTTTGCGTGTAATGACTGCTTTGACTAAAAATTATATACATACGAAATCCACGTGCTCAGTAAAGTACATCGGATTTTTGAATCCCACCAAAATAGTTGCACGTGCAAAATAGTTTTGCTCGCACGTGCACGCTGTAGCCCTGGTACAAGTCAAATTTTAATCCCACAAGTCATTATACGGTAATTAGATGGCCGCTAATCCACGCACACGTATAATTTAACCGTATAACTGTTTTAGTCTTGAACTGACAGTTTGGGCAATAACTTTTTCCCCAACGGACGCTTAAGTATGATAAGCACATGGTTAAAACGAGAATTCAAAGAGCTTTCTAATGGCGTGGGGGAGTACGGCGTACGACGAATATTCACTGATATACGTTTACGTATATATTGAATTGCTAATGTACGACTGGTGCGTCTTTTTTTGCTTGGCCCACGCTATACAATATGCCATAATCTGCCATGGTGCTGTGGTGGAAAGTCCCAGGACAGTTAAATGTTGCCATCTGGATTTGTCTATCTGGGGCAAAGACAAGGACACTATTAATGTAAGTATCCATGATCCGCAAGTTGTAGTGCATGCTCTGAATGGCCCAATGGGTAGAGTGCTCAAGCTTAACTTTGAGGCTGTCTGCTGCACCCCATACTCTTTTGGTTCCAAGGGTAGGATACTTTCTTTCTATTGCTGCCACAYATGTCTCCACTTTTTCATCTGTTGGGGGTCTAATAATTGCATTTGGGTGTTTTTGCAACACAAAAAGGAAGACTTCTTGTCTAGAAAATTTCAACCGTCTATAGAGGGGTGTCAAAGTAAGCCCAAACACCATAGACAAGGCCTAGCTAGTTTAGTGAAAATCCCAAATTGTTCGCGCCACTGGAATGTTGTCAAATTATGGTGCAATTATACGGGATTCCAAATTCCAAAAATGGGGGGAAAATATGTAATTTGAGCCGGCCTGCTGAGCCTTTGGAACCACTGAAAGTGATTCCCAATTACATGCCTGGATGTATGTATACAGGAATGACACATTGAAGTACAAGAACGAAGTACTGTATGTATTACAGTATGTGAATTCACCAGTGAAGTAGGTAGTACGAGTACTTGTACGAGGTTAATTGGAGTAAATGTGTTAAACGTAAAACCCCTACAGGGCAAAAAGGTATTCTAACCTAACACCAAATTGCTGTACCATGAGGACCCAGGAACTATTTTAACTCTCAATTTGCATCCTTGCAACAACAAAATATTTTTCTCTATGGGTATTGCAGTTCTAGGGCCTGTTATTAGCAGCTACTGCATCATGACCTACAAAAATGGTCCTCCTGGTGGCCATCTATTTCAATGTTTCTGTCCTCTCCTACTAGTATTGATATCCATGGTATTGTTGTCGGAACAATTTTACACTACTTGACCATGGAGCTGAGCATTGAAGACGATCTTGAAATATTTGGTTCTATTGTGACAATTCATCAAAACATTGAAATGGAATTCCGAGGAAGCAGCATAAGACTCTTCTCCAATCTTTTGAAAACTGAAAATAGACAGTTCGCGCTATCGAAATTTCAGAATTTGAGTACATGCACTTCATCGTGGTGATGAGAAGAAAATATTTTTCACCAGACTTATCTAAAATGTCCACTATCACCTGTAGAAACTGGCATCAATTCGTGGACTCTAAAGTGGCTGTTCAGTTTTGTTGTCCCATGATTTAAAATTTTCATTGACAGTCGAAGAGCGTACTCAGAGTCACTTTCAGTCAGCAATTCCATATCCTTTAAAACCTTTTGGAGGAACTCCCTTGTTTTCGTTTATTTTTCGCAAGAAATATCTTGATGGTCCATCGTCAAAATGTTCCAGAATGTCTCGAAAGCACCTTTTGGCGTGGTGCCAATCCTTTTTGTAAAAAGCATCTAGGCCCGACTTGTATTTTTGGAAGAAGAAGAAGCTTTTGATGTATTTGTCTCTAATTTTCCTCATGTCGGGTGATTGCCAAACATTTTGAGCGTAAAGTGCCGGGCCAGATGGGAGCACGAGCTCTCGATGTTCTTGGAGAAAGTTTCTGTTGTCATCGAAATGGCCTAGACGGGAGTTTGAACTTGGTTCGACATGACTTTGCTGGCTATTATTACTGTTGCCACCCATAAGATCACGAGCATTCATTAGAGATGTCCTTGAGCCACGACCTTTTCGTCTCTTTCGAATTGTTTGCTTCAAACTAGAGTTAGATAGTTTATCACTTTCACCCATTGTCACATTATGAAGAGTCGCATCTGCTTGTTGAATTGCATCGACATCCATATCAAACGTGAAAAGATCCATGAATTCACCCTGCCGATCATAATCTTCAAAGTATCCGTCGTCTTTGTCACGAATCAAGATGTGATCAATCTTTCTACAACGACCTTGAGTACGAGAGTGTAGTAGACGGTGGAATTCGCCTGACATCATCATCTTCAATCCATACTTTTTTGTGGACGATTCAAGAAATTCAGCTCTTTCGACTGACTCAGAAACATATGTTGCATCGATCTTACGCTGCGAACCTATCGCTCCTTGAACAGCCTTTCCTGCGTGCAAGCCGAACCCCATTTGTACAACCGATCCAGTTCGATCTTTCAATTTGGATTTTAGTCTTCCTCTCGCTGCATCACTTAGCGGCTCAAGAAAGAAATTGTCGTACGTCAGAGCGATACATATTTTGATCACAGACAACAGAGCCTTGTCTGCCTGACTTTTATCTGCTTTCAAGGCTCCATCACCACCACTAGCGCCGTTATCATCAAGCGACCAGCTCAAGAGAAACGCATCTCCTATGTTCTTATTGGCGGCGCCACCATAACTATTGCATATCGAATGTACCACAGCTGCAATTCGATTTGTGAAGACAAACACTTCTTCTTGTAGTTGCTCTGTAGCGTCAGTGAACTGACGAATATCAGAAAAGAGGAAAATACAAGATACGGTCGTACCCTGCGAGTTCAGAATTAGCATATTTTTCTGGTGGCCCTTTTCTAAATTGTTTTGAATGATTTCAACACCAGCTGATCCAAATCCAACTTTCATCAATGATCCAATACGTAAAATAGTAGATTTGAGGAATGATGTCTCCATACCCTTCAACACCTCTCTTGACCATCTSGTATTTCTCGAGAGCTCGTCGTCGTCACGAAGAAACTCCTTGTAGCGGGCTGTCGACTGGTAACCGAGTGGATCTACTGTAAGCATACCCAGTAAACGCACCATTTGTTCTACTGGTGCAATCACCAGTAGCATGACAGGGCCAGAGAAAGAAAGTACACCGGCATACCAGAAAATAATGATGAAAATGGTTGCAACGATATCAAGTATGGCTSCTCGTTTGACGGTGCGCGAATTATCGAACCAACCGGTTGATGTTCCATAAAGTAATGAATCAGTTACAGTGATCTTGACAATGTTGCGCTCTGTCAGATCTGTGCTGTTGCCGTATCGAGGATTCGGAAACCAGGTCACTGATCCAATCGAGGGACTATACTGATAAAGTGTGGGAGCTGTCGTGTTTACTGCCGCAGTCAAAGAAGGTTTGGCATATGCTGGCTTCCTTGTTTGCGAATGCAGTACTATCATGGTTTTTATTTGTGTTGTACTGTGACGTGTATATGTACAGAGAACTGTGAATATGAGCATAATCAGTGTCCCGATTGCAACCCGATTTCCAAGCAATTCTCTCATGTCACTTCGCACCTGCGATTCGCCGTGTTCTTTTCCAGCTTTACTTTGAAATCGAGATCGAGACTTAGTAGGTATAATAGTTTCTGCGGAATTCATTCTGCCGACAGGTGCCTGGGAGAGTGTTCCCAATACAGCAATATTTGTTGATCTTCTCTCTGGTGGATTTCTGACACTGAGTCGATTGGGCTCGAACGCAGGGTTGCTCTGCTCTTCGTCGGCACAGGCTCCAAACTGCACTCGATTTCGCCAGGCTCTTTGGATTTTGGAGGCGGCATCGTATTTATTGATCATCTCCGGATCTGATCGTTTCAGAAAGTTAAATTTCAAATTCTTCCATACACTTGAACTTCGGCGGAGGTTCCTTTCCCCTCTCTTTCGCTTGGACTCAGCATGAACCGCCGCCAACGCAACAGTTCCACCATTTCCTTTCGAATTATGTTTTGTTGCGTTAGCGGTAGGTTCAACTAGGGAAAGATTCTGATGATCTTTGCCAATATCACTCTGGTAAGGCGACTTGCGTTGCTTCCGACACATAGAATAATAATAAGAACAGGGATTTAACCATTTTGACAGTTGATATATTCCATACCAATCGATTCTGTTGCCTGCATTAATTGCTGCACGAGATTGAACAAATCTTGCGCATCGAGAAGTCCTCAGAATCACTATAATAACATTACATTCAASACCATTCAAGGCAAGGCGATTCAATATATATGGCGATGAACTTTCTGGATTCTAGGGGGCAGAAATGGCAAGGCAACAAGAGTCAGCACAAATATATACCTTTCTTCATATAATTCAATAAGCAGTACCGCAAAACAATATTGTCATATGCAATGGGACTTACCTCTACCCCCATTGTTACATCAATTGCCATTTCGGTGATGGAAAAGCGAGAACGATTGACAAAACTCAAGTCGTACAAGATAGTCAAAGTGGAAATGAAGTCGCACCAGAAAAGAAAACTCCCTATCAGGAATGCTGATCTTTTCGAATCACCACCAGAGCCGTTGTTTCGAGACGGAGTAGCACTCATGCTGGTGAGTTCGCTTCCTCCTCTACACAATGAGATAGCAAAATAGTCCGCTTCGAAGAGGCATCGGACCGCTATATCAAACGCAAAAAAGCAAAACATAGTAATGCGCAACCACAAGAAGATTTCATCACCTGTTGAGTCCATGTCAGCTAGACTTTGGAAAGCCGGGCCGAATAAAAGAAATAGCGAAAAGCAGACGAGAAGGACTATCCAAATGGTTGACTTGGTAAAAATATAGAATCGATTCAACCACTTCGGCCTGGATTCCTTCTTGACGTAACAGCTGCAAAAAAATCCGGACCAACATGATTTAGATCTTCCACAACAGAAATAGCATATTCTACGACTGTTGCTAGAATCGGTGAAGTCGGAAGAAATCAAGTCGGACGCATTGCTGACGCGTTTGTCTAAGCCATATGGTGCATAAGGGCGAGGTAGCATGCTCATCCTGTTCGAATCGGAAGCGTGAAGACAGCGGAATATACAAGAGCAATTATCATAACCTCCGGCTACGACACGAAGATGCAGTCAATCCAGGTCTAGTCTCGGTCTGCCCTGTCGCGTGAATCGAATTTGAAATCAGATTTTAAACTATTGCAGAGGTAGGCATTTCTGCACTAGGTAGCAAGAATGATACTGACAGTTCCGATTGTCCTTCAAAACTGRTCGAGAGAGCAGCGAGTACTAGTTGCAGACACCATGGGGTTGAAACCGTCTGTTAGCAAATCACGAAAAATCACTACCAGAAAATATTGAACTTCAAGAGAATGTTTCGTGTCCATTTTTAGTCAATTTTAGTCAATTACTGTAGTAGACTTCTAAAATTAGGTCATTCCCGCCATAGAACTTATGCTGCCATAATTTATATTTTTGGGTATACAGTAATAKGTATGTAATTACATAAAATCATGGATCTTGAATTGTGGCCCACTAYATGTGCCTARTAGTTTGGAATATGGAATTTTATTTTGCATGTGTTATTGKGGCTCTCCTGATTGGTTCTCACTAGTAGTAGTTTTTGACGGCATTCATGGTGATTAGTAGAAATTTTGAATTAAGGATTCCAAATTTTTGTGTGCTGTGCACGCATTTTTTTGGTTTGTAGAGAGCCTGCTGCAACCAAAATTCTATGATTCTATGATCAGAACACATACTTCTATGTGTRTATGGTGACTGGGTGGTGAAAATTAAAAGTAATCACATAGTAGTAGTAGATTCAATGTTTACAGGACAAATGACCCATTGGTTTTGCAATATTGCACTGTGCTGTAAAGTTTATGCATACAGAAAGAGTACCTACATTTTGCAATGCATATTGCAAAAATATTCTAGAGGGCTTGTGGTAGGGATTGTACACAAAACCACCTGGAGGGTCAGTACGTGAACTCTCACCACTCCATATAAGCCGTCCTAAATTTTCCACATGCCTCCTGGTACATATTTCTTCTGAGGAACTGTGTTAGCACCTCAGCTTTGGTACTACTACAGGTTGCTGATAAGGTTGCACAAAACTGTCATATTTAGCATTGAGTGCAGCCGGTTTTGACTTCAAATATTTACTCCTGCACCACCAATATTGCACTCCTCCAGCAGTTTTCTTTCGTACCTAGTAGTCTTTGCTCACAAAATGAAGCTCCCAATAAGCAAAATAAGCAACAAAGCAGACASAAAGCACCATGGCAGGAGCCCCAGCAGCAAGAGAAGCAAGGAACCGCACTAAGGCTTGCAAATGATAGGGATAGATTGTGACCCCCCCCCATGAGACACAAGGATGAATCATCAGCAACAACGGCATTGGTACCACTTGCTGTCAGTGCTCCTTGAATTCATGGATTTTGTAGGTGGTAGACAAGATAATGTGTGTGTGTGTGTGGGGGGGGGGGGGTAAATCATACTCTGTTTCTTACTACATACCAGCAGCAGCTATGCCAAATATAATCCAATCATATCTACAGGTTCTTTACAAATAAAGCATGTGGACAAGAGGATCCAGACATCAATGGTGCTGATCAGCAACCTACTGAAGCCTGAGCTTAAACTCTACTATACTATAGGAAAGCTCTAACATATTTTATGCCTACTGCTGGTGGTGGAAACAATCCTACTACGTCGCAGCAAGTGAATGATCTAATCACAGCTATAATTTGTAAAGAAAGAACTTGCCAACAGCAAGAACAAATGGAACAGAGCTTGGACAGGACTCTTTCACAGAGGGAGTTTCTGCAAGCACTTGATCTAATAGGAGGAGGAGGGGATGCAAGAACAAACAGACTGATTAATCAGTTGAGATCTTGAAATTTAGCATCATTGTCATTGTCATTGTCATCAATGTTGACACCTTATGGGCTGTACAATTTGTGTCTTTCCTTGTGTGTGACAGTGTGAGTACTTCTTAGTAACAATCACCCTGATACTGTTTGTCTCCAGTCTTGCTGCACACTGGCTCCATGCACCTACTATGTAAATTATGTACTACATCCTACAAGGCTGCATTTTTTGTTGTTATTTCCTTGTGACATACTTCTACCTGCTACAGTAGAAGTTTGAAGTCAAGTACCAGTGTGTACTAATAATATTGGTTTATTCCCATTACTATGGCTTTCATCGTAACAATTGAACAATGTCTTGCATGAGCCAAGAGTTTCAACTTGAAGTTCTAAACTCCAATTCAAAGTTATGAACTTTAAATGTTCTAGTACAAAATCTACTACATTCTGCACAGCAAGTTTTTGGAATCACCCAATGGAATTCATGATTGAATAACCTCAAATCAGCACTCAATCCAGCCATTCAATCATTTCCAAAAAATAACAGCTCAGTATACTAACCTGGTGCATGATGTACAAGAGAAAAGTTCATAAGTTTGAATTGAAGTTTAGAACTTTATATYGAAACTCTTGGCACACAGGTAAGACTGCTGTGCAACTGTTATGAAACTTTGTAGTATTCTAAATATACTGAACGTGCTAGTTTAGCACATTTAGCACATTTAGTGAAATAGGGGGAATCAAATTTTCAATGGAAAAACTGCAGGKAATGCTGGTTCGACGCCAGTCTTTTTAGGAAATTGGAATCTCAACTATTCTTAGTAACTATGCTGCAACAAAATATATGACTTAAAACAAGAGCACTGTGCAGTCTGGCACTAGAAAAATAAAAATTCAATCCCACAATAGTCTGGTTTCTGGTGCATCCTCTTTTTGCAAAACAATTTTCACCAGGAGGAGAAACACATGATTTGCCTCGTATTGAGTTGTTTGGAGTAAGTCTGAAATACAATCCTATCTCTTCCGCCAGACCCTTTCGAATGTTACGATCGTCGTGTTTCAATCGCTTCGATTTCTAACCATCGACATCGATAATCTGCGCCTGCGGACCAATTTCGGTCCGAGGAAAAATTATGGGGGCACCGCCACCTGGAGGTAGGAATGGTCATGCCAATTTGGCAAACCCTACTACGAGCTCGAGCTCTTCTACCGTGCCGCTCGCTAGAACATCATGAAGCTGTCTGCGAGCMSCGAAGGATCGTCCGGATCGCAACAGGGACACCCCGGCTTGCGGATTCCAGGGGCATGCTCTCGCTCGAACAAACGGGAAATAGCGCTGCTTCCGCTGTTGCCTCCTCCCGGTGCTCGTGGGTTCAGTGCCTTCTGAATGGCTCGCTCGTGTTGCGGCGGCTGCCGTATTCGGATGCTAGTAGTGGTACCATTGGTTTGTCGCCTCGGAACAGTGGATTCGTTGTCCATCTTGCGACGAATCACAATGTTCCCTTTGGAGGGATCCGTGCTTGTTGTYGTTGTCGTCGTCGTCGTTGGAGCTGGGGTTGTGGAATCCTTTGGTCGTTGTAGTTCCTCGTCTAAGGACTTTTGAGTTGGTTCCTCACCTACRGTCGAATTGGATGCATCAGCACCAATCGTAGAAGTAGCATTGGCATAGGGTTCTCCAAATGGTGGAGGTTTGCAGCCTGCTGCTATGTAGTCTTGCAAGCACGACTGCAAATACRTCGCCATTGCRMTTCGGTCTTTGATGGCGGATTCGGTGTCATCGCTGCTGCCATCCCCAAACAACTGTGTGATTTGACCAATCATGACATCTCTTGCGTACAGACATACCCGTTCCATCGTTCTCCTCCCTCCCTCAAAGGMCGGCGGCAGGTTGTCGAGAATGTCGTCGTCGGTGAYGTTGGCCATGGGTTTCAGTATTTTGGTTTTGTAGGACCCGCCGTTGCTTTCCGGAAGACCGGGGACGAGTTCCTCGCCGTCGCTACACTTTGGGAACACAATGATGACGGCCGTCTCCAGCGGGACGCAACCCGGGTCTTTGCACGATACCTGCATCACCATGACCGTCGTGCCCATATCGAGGGCCTCCTCGGGCATGCATTGTTCGATCCGATCGACGATCCGGCGTTTGTGCTGGCGGAGAACTAAATTTTCGTTCGCGGAAAACATTTGACTTGTTGAGTGTGCTGCAATTGCTGTTTCTCTGAAAAGATGATYTCKATAAACGRTGATTGAACGAATACAAAAAGTAACGATGGTGAAACATGGTGGTATCATCTTCTATTCTATTCTTCACTTGCGTTTTCTTCTTGGCCTGGTGAGACAAGGCAGGAACAGCCAATCTCGATTCATGATTGACGTACGGTAGCAGACAAAGCAGATTGAGTCCCGGGTTTCATTGAATCCCGCCACTTCGAACGGTCCCAAATCAGATTGTGTCTCATCAGTGTCACGCACGTGTCAAAAAAATCTTTCCGGTCCTTCTCAAAAAACGTTGTTGATTGCCCCCCCATCACCGACGCAACAGTCGTACCGTACGACGGATTAAGACGTCAGTACCAATCGATGAGATACGTGCTGTACTAAATCGCACACCATACAGAAAAAGAGGCAGGTCTGTATCATCTACCAACGTCTATTCCTCCTTATTCTGTGCTTCACCACGATGAATCTCTACAATACTCTTCTTGCAGCCATTGCATTGGTGGTCGGAGCAGACGCATTCTCTTTTTCTCCAGAGAACGGAACCAATGCGAAGCCCCCCACGGGTTCCGTCGGTCGACGTGCGGCGTTTGCGGAAGTCACCGCCACTGCCGCTGCAATTGCCGGGGGATCGCTCCTGATTTCCAATCCTGGTACCGCCGTTGCCGCCACGGGACCCGAGGTATTCGTGGGGACGTACACCGACCCAATCAACCATCCTGGGGGAACGAGAACCATCAAGTTGCTGGACGGCCAAAAGATTGGAGACTACCAATTGGCAGAGGTTCGCGGCGGGGGCGGACGAGGCGAGCCAGAAAATTATGTGCTGCCCGCGGCCATCATTGGAGATCGAACCATTGTCATTGACTTTTCTCCCAAGGGGGGACCCAGGGATTTTGTCGGAATCCTGCAGAACGGGGACATTAAGTTCTTGAAGGACGGAAATCGCTGGCCAAGACAGTAAACACGAAATGGACAGGGCCTATGCAATGTCGACGAATGAGTCGACGAATAAAACGGAATGCCAGCAACCAAGGGAATCCATATCCATCTACGAATCACTACTAGTACCAGGGAGGCCGGTGCTGCTATTAGCTAGTTGGCATGCTGAAATCTTCGATGGCACGAAGACTGCATTAATCTAGTATAGCAGCTTTTGCAGTAGCCACAATATTAGTAACCGTAATGTTTGAAAATGAATCGTTTTCTCGGCAATGGCCGAAGGTCGATCATCGAAAAATTGGTAGGCGTTGTATTGTACTGAAGGTATGTAATACTGATACCATACTGTACCGTGTGTAAATTTCTGGTTTGTGTTTCACATACCGGTAGTAGTAGAAAATATCGGACTCGAAATCCTTCCTTAGTTCTTTTTTGGATCTTGAGGTACCTGTCTGATGAACCTTGCATTTTCAAAATCAAAAGTATGGAAGTAAACATWGCGCTTCGCCAACCACAACGAGCACTGTACCACACACGAAAATGAATAAATACTCTGAACATTAATTAGATAAACTCTTTGGCTTCATTTTCTCAGACACGTCATGACTAAGGATTTCAAAAGAATCATAATCGTTTTTACGTACAGTATTACTTATTGTAATCTCCAATCGTACCGAAACCGGTTTTCTATTGATACAAAATGGAAACTCGTAGTAAAATATCGAAAAAATCTCCCGTGTCTCTAATAACACAATCTTTTCATCACAGCACAGAGAAGTGCTTTTGGAATAATATTATGTCAATATCATTGATATTCTTAATTTTCGAACTGATTTCGTCTTTGTAGGGCGTATCACTCAAGGGCAGTTGAAATAATGGTCCACGAGCATTGCTTCCCACATTCACACTCTAAGTAACTACTCACCTTGGATTTTAGAGTTGGTGCACGCTTCATTCGCGCTTTCGATAAAATCCGCTACCGGATTCTCGGTTTGAACCAGCAGGATACGAAAAGAGCGACAAAGTTTTCCCAATCACCGGTCAAGATTCCATGTTGAACACCGCCATAATATTGTATCCAAAAGCTGAGACAGATCGATACCATCGAGTTTTCGTTCTTTTGCAAGCATCCTCCTTAAAACCTTAACAATGAGTGCCGAAACAAAGTCCACCGCCGACGCTATGGTCGATGCCATTGCCAAGGGATCCGCTGCCTCTGGCGGACCAGAGGCATTCGTTGGGACGTACACCGATCCCGTCAACCACCCGGGAGGGACGAGAACCATCAAGCTGGTTGCTGAAAAGGCAGGAGACTATCAACTTGCGGAGGTACACGGCGGAGGCGGTACAGGAGAACCCGAAAGCTACGTCCTCCCGGCAGCCGTCATCGGAGACCGACTCATTGTCATTGACTTCTCTCCCAAGGGTGGACCCAAAGATCTCATCGCCGTCCTCGACAATGGAGACATCGTGTTTGTGCAAGACGGAAACCGCTGGCCAAGAAGCTAGAAAACAAAATACACTAGCTGCAATGCTGTCTTGTTAGAGAATGGTACTTTGCGATAGCATATTTTCCAAAATTTACAAGGCGTGCAGACGAAACTTCCCTKAACAAATCTAGGAAATATTTTATTTTGAATAAGCTTTAGATACTGTTAGATTAAAGAAGTGTGAAGTCTTCATCGAGACAGTCTGCATGGCATGTGCTCCCAGCAGCCATGCAGGCCCATTGGGGTTTTACGTAATCGTAATGTTTTAGCAATCCTTCCTTGCTTGCCACAAGTATCTCGCGGACCGGATCGTAAATTGAATCGTCGAGAATCTTTCGAAGGATCTCAGCAGGTTTAACGCGTACCTTTTTCGTTCTAACGGCACCGTCAGCATCCACAACCTCCACTTCCTTGTCCTCTAGTGCTTCGCCAGTCATAACCATCTTTAGCATGGAAGGGCTAAATCCCGACAAAAGGACGGTGCCCTCCGTATCCTTTTCGACTGGGTGGCCGCACGTGTCGCGCAAATTCCAATAAACAATGGGAGTTGGATCCGAATCCTTCCAACCGAGTATCTGGGCTGTAGTGGCGAATTTTGAGCGGATGGTTTCGTGCATTGTAACACATCTGCTGCGGTCGTAACAGGCTCCATACCGTCTAAATGATCCTTGTGCTAGATCAAACTGCATGTCCGAAAAGACAATCAGTGAGGGCACATCTTTCTTGGCCAGTCTGTGCTCAACACAAACTTTCATAATTTGGTCGTACGCCCTCTCGAAATTTGTGCTTCCTCCCCAACCAGCACACATAAGCGACCTGACTTTCTTGACAATACTGTCCTCTGGATTCAACTTGTGCCAGCAAGGAGTCGATTCGAAGGTTAACACCATATCCCGAAATGCTGGGTGAGTAATCTCAGAAATTCCAATCCCCATTGCGATGGCGACCTCCATGGGTTTACCAGACATGGAGCCAGAAACGTCAGACAATGGCACCATCTTCGATGGGTCGAAGTCAACACCTTCTAGTTTTGATTTGGCCTGTACTTCTTCGATGGCAGTGTTCCACAAATCTTTCCATTGCGCGTCCAGCACTTTTTCCTGGTTTGGACYGACCTTCCCCTTCATGATCTTCGCAACTATCTCATCGGGCATCAATGTGCTCCCCTTCAATCCTTTCTGCGTCAGATGGTCCACGAACAGTTCAGCACATCGTTGGCGTTTCGCATCATTCGGTCTTCGTACAGAGCCGTCTACCTTCTCGTTTAGGAGTGCTCTCGACAGCTTCAGGGTTGCCTTCGAGGACAGCATATGGAACTTGATTTCGTCGGCACGCTGAGCAGACAAGTATACTTCGGGAAGGGAAAGAAAGGATGTCAGCCTTTTTACTTCCTTCCGAAACGATTTCTTCGAATGAGACTTCCAGATCTTTGATCCATTTCTTCGCTCGATGGGCCCTTCGTTCAGGAAGCGCTGGACGAAATTGAGCTTCTTGTCAAAGTAAGTGTTCTCGCGAGGTAACCACTTTGCCAAAAGGGAGATTTTCGGTCCGGTCGATATTATCTTTCCAACCACATCCGCGTGATCGGCATCGATCTCGCTCCTGTGTTCCATGTCCCCCCTATCCATGCCTTCGGTGTCGCCGTCTTTCTGTTTTGCTTCGTACTTGGCTAATGCATCCAGATCAGCTTGAAACTGAGCTCGCATAAGGTTTATCGATTCCTCTAGAATTGGTTCCACCAGTTCTTGGCTTTGTTTCTTCGTTTGAGATTTTTCAGTCAACAGCAGGAAATCTTTCCAATAGCCATAATGATTTGCAAACAGTGGAAGGAGCTTCTTCGCGGTTTCAGGGTAATGATACCAAATACGTAGAAACATAGCGTAGGACAAGTCTTTCTCTCCTTTTCCTCCTCGAATGTTACGGGTAACAAACGCGAGGATGATCAAGTCCGAAACATCGCGGATACTCGATGACGACAAGATTTGATCGCAAAGAGCTGATGGATCGGAGCCACGTACCAGTTGGGAAAGCGATAGCAAAGCGCAGCCTGTAGATGAAAACTCAGGACAGCCGTTTTCTCCAAAAATTATTTGAGGTGTATTCGAATCTTTCTGTGCAGCGGAGATAACAGCCTCGTTGAAACGAGAATATCGTTTGCGATTGTTATTGGAACGCATTGGGAATAGATTTTTAAGTTGGTGTTCCTCTTTGGCAAAAAATTCTTAATTTGTGACCATAGCAAATCACTTCCATCACGATTCTATCGCCATCATCAATCAAGTAGCATGGCCAAAAGCATTGAGAACGAGTTCCATCGTTTCGCAGGTTTGGCTTTTCGAGGGTGGGTTTCGACTGTTTTTAGTCGTGCAGGACGCAGGACCCAGGGTTTTGCTTAGTAATGTGACATGTGCGCACCCGTACGTATGGTACGTAGTCATCTTTCATACAGTACTAGCCTGTCCTTCGTTTGTTTTCGTCCATACTACAGTACTATTTTCAGTTACTGTTGTAGTACTAGTAGTAGTGCCGTACCAACAAGAAAAAGAAGTCCAAACTTCTTCTTCTTCTTGTTGTTGTTGTAAAAATACTAACATTGGATTTGACTAGTAGAATGACAGGATCAAAAGAACAAGAAGGATCAGAACTCGTCCCCAAGAAAAATCAAGCTTCTTTTCACTACTACTACTACTAGTACTACTACTACCAGTACTTCTTCAGCCTCTTTGTTCTTACTACTAGTAGTAGTAGCTAGTACTAGTACTAAGACGATGGATCCACACGAGAGATTTCTTAGAATTTTGGGAAGAAGTGTTCTTACAACAAGGAGTGAACTTATTCACTAGCTACTCGTGACTTGGTCTCACACTGACGTACTTCTACTTAGTACTGTATTAGTTAGTCACTGTACCGTACCGTACCGTACCGTACGAAGTAGTACTGTACTAGTAATTTCTTCAGTAGTCGTAATTGCAATGCGAGGTACAGTACGGCGTAGTAGTACAGTACCCGACGAAGCATTACTAATATTTTTGTTCATCGTCAAACAGAAGGACAAACATCGAACGAACCGAAACACTGCAGCAGTGTGCCGGTAGGAACAAAGAGGCTCTGTTGGAGTAAGACGAAGGTAGAAACGTTGTCGAAGAGAACAGTAGAAAACCAATAATTATGCCATCCTTCCGCACCATTCGAAATAGGTCGTGCATGATTTTTGTAGCAGCAGTTCTACTGCCACTACAGTATGAATTTGTGCAGTCGTTGTCTCTTCGTCAGACTCAATATCAGATCAAGTCCTTCTCGTCGGTAGAAGACGAAGTCAAGTTAGAGGATGAGTTTCGGGTGATGGATAGAAGTTCTTCATTGCTATCTCGCCGGAGTGCCGTGACTGCTTCCACCGTCGCTTTGTTCTCGCAGTGCTTTGCTGCCAACGCTGCCGATGATGCTACCCAATTTCCCACATCTGCTGGCCGACGAGGTTGCAAAACTGAGACAAATCCATCCCGTACCATTGTAACATGTAGAGGGGACATGCAATCAAATAATGCCGATGGACGACTATCGAAAATAGCCGCGACGGAGAATGGTGTGTCGACATCTTCGGTTAAAAACCCATCTCGGTTCTCTCCTCCCTGGACATACCTCACAGAAACGGACGATCCGAAAAAGGCATGGAGATCACTTCAATCGGCAGTGCTCAATGTGGATCCTACGTGCCAAATTATTGAAATTACAGATACGTATTTGCACGCCACTGTTGCGACGTCCGCACCACCAGGCATCGATGGCCTGGATGATATGGAATTTTTGATACGCCCGGAAGATAATGTGGTTTTGTACAGATCAGCTAGCCGGACATCAGTATTTGTGTATCCCTTGACGCAGCCTGTTAGCGATAATAACACTAATTTGAAAAGACTGCAAAAGATTCGAGCGACTTTGGGATGGGAAGAGCTCGGTTATCAGCAAAAAGGATCTATGAGGATATAATACGAGTGAATTTCATTTTTGGTCCAAACAATACCTGGACGTCGTGCGCCTTGTCACACAATTGTAAACGAAACGTCAAAAACGCCTTTTACTATTATTATCGAATTGAAAGAAACTCATTTACATTGGTTTGAAGGCTGCATGATGGGGTTATCAAAATTATGGTCTCACTCCTTGTTGCAGAACTTGTTGTACTGAACAACCTCTAATATTAGGTCAAATGGAAATTTCCATGATGTTTGATAGCACATTCCATTCCAGTTTGACGAGCAAATCAACTTTCTAACAATCAGTAGTACTGTATTAAGATCAAGTACGAGTGTTCCTAAGATATTATTTTCTGTATTTGAAAAAATGGATTTCTGCAGTCTCTCGATAGAAATGGGGGGGATCTGAGAGGGTGAAATTCGAAATTCGTTTACCTCTAGTACGGTAGTGTCGCATGATTACGTGTTTACAATAAAGAGTGAGCTTATTCACTATCTACTCGTGATTTAGGCTCACAGAAGGAGACGAAAACAAGACACAGTTAATTGTGAACACCATATGTTTTTGGGGGTATTGCAGCGCACCGTCAAGAAACTACACTTACAGATTACTTTTCCTTTGGGGGAACATTGATACTTTTTGACATTGGGTGATTCCCGTAAACACAGATCTATGTAATATTGAATTAGAGTTCAGTCGTGCACACATAGAAGTATGTGTTTTTGACACAGAATCATAGATTTTTGGTTCAGGCAGGCTCTCGACAACCATAAGTATGCAAAAAAGACATAGATTTTTTGGAATCGTGGATTCAAAAATTCATCAGTCACGGGCAACTGCTGACATCCAGTTCTCAAGTGTCAAAGAGCCGGGCTTTTGAAGCAAAATTCCATATTCCTAAATTAAGCACATGTAGCGCGCCATAATTCAATATCTATGATTCTAAGATTTTACATACTTATTCCCGTTGAGTCATAGACTCGATTTATGTCAGCATAGATTCTATGTTTACGTCTGCAGTCGATTTGCGCGCCAAAACGAATACTTGTATTTGATGTTCTATCATAGCACAGAACGATTACGGGTACTTATTTCATTGAATGCCAATTTTGGTGTGGTATGGTACCCTACGATACAGATGAAACCATACAGAGGTGGTTGCTGAGGCGCAAAACCAAGCTCCAAACAAAGCAAAACAGGACATGAATAATCACGTCTCAATTACTCCAAGTAGAAATACAATGAATAGTCATGATGGATGTTTGGCTGAAGAAAAACACGGAATCACCACCCTTCCGACATCGTCATCACCGAATAGGTTTCCAAGGATAGGAGGTAACAATTGCAATGCAGTATTCTTCGGTACATTCGTTCCTTTGGTATTTGGGGTGCTTGCGAAGTTGCTTATTTTTCTTCGTTGGAAAGGCAATTTGTTCTCACAAAGATCACTGATTAATGAACCTCCATCGGCTCCGTTGTTACCATCGGGGCCTTCTACTGTCCCGGTTGTGTTTCTCCGCGATGTGAATAGTGGCAAGAAGCCGGTCGAGGAAATCCTTCKATCTGTAATACAAACATACGAAAAAGAAATTTCCCAAGCGCTTTTGGGATTGAGCACAATGCTCGACGCAGCATCTGAAGCAGAAGCTCTCGCTCGCAGTAGAAAACAATGGAATAGCATCAAGTGCCATGGCAAGCTGTTTTCGTCTAAGATCGAGCAAAGGATCCAACGCACTGCCTCGTGTCTTGAACATGACGAGCATATATTGAAGAAGCTTCTTGGAAACGTTTCATATATTTCGGCATTACCTGATGGGGAAGTATATGGTGATGAAAGTGACGAAAATGACACAGAACCAATCGAAGAAAAACCATCACTTAGAACAGGAAACGGAACAAACTATCGCATTCCGCTAAGAAACAAGAAAGTGATAGACGAATCTGAAACTCATTCTTATGATTCAGCTACTCAAATTTGGGCACACCTTGTTCGAGATTGGACCAGTGAAGGAAGAGCTATTAGGCGTGTAATTTATGACTGGTGTTGTCAACAAATGGAAATTCACTGCCAGAATTCTAGTGCTACTGTACTGGTGCCTGGGTCAGGAATGGGTCGACTTGCCTACGATTTGTATCGGAGAGGATTTATTGTTGAAGCCAATGAATTGTCTCCATCGATGGCCGTTGCCGCCTCATCTATTTTGCGAAATCAAGTTAGTGGATTTTTTCACCCATATGTCCTAGACGGTATGGCAAATGAAGTGGACTCTAAACGACGCTTCGATTCTATTAGTTTCCCAGATGTACCCATCCAAACCATTGTCTCTACTGGTGGTAACAGTGGAATGCCAAATGACTGCGAAGGATGTGGGTCTTTGTCATACACAGTTGGTGATTTCGTTGGAAACGACGACTTCTATTACCGTCGTCAACGAGTTGCCCAGTTTGATGCCGTTGTAAGTTGAATCAGTAGAGACTTGGGTTTGGCTCTATGATCAATGATTAGGTCTTCACTCTTACCAAAGTTGTTGGTTTCCATTTTTGCATGTTCAACATTCATGGTATGAATACAGGTTACTTGTTTCTTTATCGACACCGGTATGTTATCCGTTTACGACTTGCATATGAATTGCTCATTATCAGTATTCAAACTCAAATCTCTTAATTTTTTCATTACATGCAGCAACCAATATCTACGAATATTTGGAAACAATACGTAAATTGCTCCGACCGAGGACTGGTGTTTGGATTAACGTCGGCCCAGTGCAATGGCATCACAATGCAGTCCTGCGTCCGTCTGTGGACGAGCTTAAAGACCTGATCGAAGCTTTTGGGTGGATAATCCGAGTTTGGTCGGTGGATAAGACTCCAATCTCTTACCGAGACGAACATGACCCAAATGCTCAACCTCGAATGACAAGCTACGACGGATATCGCCCGCTACGATTTGTAGCGATTCCATCGTGATGACGAGAATGACTCTGGATAGATTCAATGTTGTCTTTACTCTCGACCATTCAAATGAGTTTCATTTTATTTACAAATGGTTGAATCGCCACTCATCTTCTTGGATTGACCACTAGGATACTCTTCGTCTCTTGCGGATGTCCACTACAACTAGTCAAGGATTCGTTGGTATTGCGGCGATAAAGATCTTGACCAGACCGAACCAAAGAATGCGCCAATTGAAAAACAGGAAATGCAATGAAAATTTGTAATCGACCGTCGGATCTTTGATCTAAATGCCGCGTATCTGCATTTACAATCTTTGGTAGCATGGTATCACCGAAAGAAATGTTACCCGTTAACTGACTGATCAAGTCAAGGGATTGGAACGGAACATTGTAAGGGAGTAGGTACCCGGAGCTTATCAGCAACATCATTTCAAGGTTTTTGGGGGTCTTGACGTAGTCAGCAACAGCTCCCCCGACCATCCATAGATACCAATTAGAAGCTTTCCGACCAATTTATTTCTTTTCATACCTGCTCGGGCCCCTCGAGATTGACCGCAAGATCGTGATCTCCAGCATACATTAAAACTCGGATACCTGAATCGTCTAAGAGTTCGGCGATATACAGAGTTACTGGTGCGGGCTGGTCATGTGCCAATAGAATCTGCCCAGGCATTAATTTTCCTGTGTCTTTCAGTCCAAGCCTTCTTCCTGCACAGAGTTTCGTCTTCAAAATGCAATGTTTAATTACCTCTCGGTTGTTGAATACTAGTAGTTACAAAACTATTGTGTTCTGTGGTTTCAACAGCGGATATGTATCCCTTGAAGAATAAAATACATTAGAGTTAGACGCTGTAGTATTGTTTCAAGAAGATCAAACCGGCAAAATCACAAAATTGAAAAGCAATATCACAGAGTTGCATGATTAGGTGCATATTAGTCGTTCTCTGGGAACATATTTGCTCCTGATAGAGCAAGAAGATGGGTAAAAGCCCAGAATACATCGTCCTTTTAAACTGCTTGAAGGTCGCTTTGATCTCCTCAAGACCTGACATATGAGCACCTGACTTCATGAGCTATGAACGCCTCTATTAAAATACGGAAGTAGAGGAAGTAAAAGATTTCCATGTGATGTTACTCGTATTGCTAACGGTTTTGTTGTTTGTTCGAGTATCTACCAGTGTGAATACAAGTTGTTTGTCTGTTTTCATGACACACGGAACCCTGAACATAAATGAGATGTGAAGGAATAATCACTATTCGTGTTTTTTCCTTCGACCTATTAGTTTTGAGTGAGAAGAAAAAGAGTTGAAGTACGAAAACGTACCAGGTACCTCGAGTCAAGGAATGAATCAAGTAAAAAAGGATCTGCGACCTTTAGCTTATTCACTATCTACTCGTGATTTAGGCTCACACCGGTAGCTGAAGGCTTTGTCAACAATTATTTTTAGGAAGTGTAGGCACGTATTGCGACTGTTGTTGTTTTTGCCTTCCGGGTTTGAAAATTCATTCGATTCTAGTCGAACTAGTCATAGACCTTTGACACCACTTGTTTTCGTTTCTCAAATTTGCACGGTCGGAAAACAAAAAAGATCCCATTTCCATTCTGAATTCGGCTCAATGAAGTCTCAGTTGACCTGAAGAGTGTCCCGATTGGCATTCTGAACATCATAAAAAATAAAGACACCATGGCATGTATTAGCAAGGATAATACCGGTCCAACAGAAAAAGAGATAGCTGTTGAAGGAACGAGACTGATAAGTCGTACTCAAGAAAATAAGAGGCCGGTATATTCTTGGAAAAATATCGCAACTTGTATAGCACTACTCTTTGGTTTGGCTGGAATCAGCTTTCCTACTTTTTTTCGATCTACAAATCACAACCTAGGAAAAAAACTTGGTGAAGGAGAAAACTCGGCCTTAGAGACCATATCACTTCTCCAAGTCTTCCCGGAAGATTTTGTGTGGGGCGCCGCAACGTCTTCCTACCAGATCGAAGGAGCGACACACGAAGGAGGTCGCGGCGTAACCATATGGGATACATACTGCGAGGAAGAAGGGAATATTTTTGATGGAAGTAGTGGCGATGTAGCGTGCGATCACTACCATCGGGTGGAGGAGGATGTTCGAATGATGAAGGACTTGGGGCTAAAGGCTTACCGCTTTTCCATTGCTTGGGCACGAATACTCCCAAATGGAAAGCTGGAAGGGGGCATCAATCGCATGGGCATAGCGTTTTATAATCGGCTAATCGATGAACTACTAAAATATGACATTGAACCATGGGTGACTCTTTTTCACTGGGACTTACCACAAGCTCTTGAAGATGAGTACGGAGGTTGGCTGAACCAGAATATAGTTGGTGATTTTGGCACCTATGCGTCTGTATGCTTTGAAGCCTTTGGTGACAGAGTAAAGCACTGGATTACCGTGAACGAGCCCTGGACAATGGCTGTACAAGGCTATGAAGATGGAACCAAGGCTCCCGGAAGAACCAAGAACCCACAGGTAGAAGTATACTTGGCTGCCCACCACCTCCTCTTGGGGCACGCAAGGGCAGTTCGAGTGTATAGGGAGCAGTTTTTGGAAACACAACATGGCAAGATAGGCATTTCAAATAGCGGAGACTTCCGCTATCCTCTAGATTCTGAATCTTCACTGGACCGAGATGCAGCAGAACGAGCAATGGTATTTCAATATGCATGGTTGACAGACCCGTTGGTGTTTGGGGAATATCCTCTCGAAATGCGAGCTCGGTTGCGCGATAGATTGCCAGAGTTCACCAATTCACAACGCCAAGAGATAATTGGTTCTCTTGACTTCATGGGTTTGAATCATTACTCTACATTGTATGCATCTGTTAAGAAAGAAGCATCAATATATGGAGGATATTGGACTGATATGGATGTCGAATTTTCTGGTGATCCCTCATGGCCAAAGAATTTTATGGTAAGTTTTTCAAAGATCTTGTCTTGTGTAGCTAAATTTAGATCTAATTATTGTGACTGACGCTTATTGGGCCCAAGGGTTGGAACACAAACCCAGACGGATGCAGAGAATTACTGTATTGGATATCAACACGTTATCCCGGCATACCTATCGTCATAACAGAGAATGGTACGGCTGAAGATGATCGCGACCTAGAAGGAGCTAAAAACGACGAAGGTCGCAGAAAATTCTTTGAGGGATACATTCGAGCGTGCAGAGAAGCCATAGATATGGGTGTTCAACTAGAAGGCTACTTTGCATGGTCTCTGATGGACAATTTTGAGTGGGAATATGGCTACACAAGACGATTCGGTATCTGCTATGTCGACTACGACACATTGAAAAGAACACCAAAATCATCAGCGCTTTGGTACAAGAAAACTATCGAGACTCGTGGATCGAATATTCGGATGGCTTAAACGAAACAATTTTGTATTATGATGTTAGTTTATCAGAAGTAAACTCACAATGCGTTGTAGGTTTTTCTGACGCTAGAGTTGCAAGTGTTGCTGCTAGTATAGTAGTACAATAATAATTATTAGCTACTATTGCATTGCTGTTTTATCATTACTACTAATAATAAATTTATAACTCAACTATGACATACTCCACAATACACATTTTAAAATGCTGCCTTCGTATCATGACTACTACAACCAAGGCACAATTGTTTTTCAGCATTATTGAAATCTTTTATAACACAATTTTCAGGAAACACACTACTAGTAGTAGTACACATGCTGGTGAGTGCATTTATTTTTATCTTGAGGAAWAGTAGTTACACTACAGCTGGTGTTGGTGGTGCTACTACTACTACTACTAGCTACTACGACCTTAATTTAGTAATGCAAAACCTACTACTACTACTAGTACTATTAGGGTTGATAAGAACTGTTGCTCCTTCACTGATGCTAAGATTGCATCCATTCAGTGGGCCCCTCAAATCCACTTCATATTGGACCAGGAAGGATCAGTGGTAAGTAGCACTAATACACATACCCATGGGCAGTGGCTATAATATGCTCCAACAATCATCATTTTGTGTGCTAGGTTGTAATCGTGGAGAATCTCGTAGTCGAAAGGAGTCAATGTGAGACATTAACACCACAATCACATGTAGCTAGTGAATAACCTCWCTCTTTATTGTAAACACGTATTCATACGACACTAAGAGAGCCTATCAGTATTTCACAGGTTATGAACTCAAACTGTATTGTATTACCTGTTGTATCGTCCTGAAAAAAAAATACTTCGTTTTTTATTCAGTTCGAGTTTTTCGAATTCTCGGATGGTTTGTTCCGTACGAGTATTACGATTTCGTAATGTGCTTGATTATTGCGTGAAAAATAATGATATTTTTGTTGTGTGACAAAAAGATGTTTTCGCATTTTTTAGTGGCAGAATATGTGTTACATTATTGGCGTTCATTGATATAGCCCTCTCCAACGGAAACATGATTTTAAACTGCTCACGATTATATTTAATGGATCCCATCCAAAAACGTCTAATTGAAATCTACAATATTCGGTGACTCGATGAATATTTCGAACACTATTGCTCATTTTGATAAATGTTGTCTTTCCAAAGTGTCTAGACATTCTAAATTGATATATTTAAATGACATTTCTAACTGAAACCATTTCCATCCCACAATTTTGCGAGGGGGATCTTTGTACGAGACGAGTTTGATTCCAGATGAATACTGCGAATATTGCGGTTCCAATGGAAGTGTCATAAAAGTTTATTTGTTCTATCTATTTGTCAATCGCCCATAGACAACACAACGACATTCAAATAACGATGACGAAGGCCCTCGAACATCTCRATTTGGCTGGGGGAATCGGTAAGAGCCACGATGGTATTCGCTTGAGAACATCTTCTCTCGTACAAAGCAAGGAAGCGATTTCTACAACACAACAGAAGATGGACCGTTACCAAATGATGCCATACATCCAGATCGATCACCCCTTTCATTTGAAAAACGATCTGAAATTTGCATTCACGTACAGTGACGAATCTGTCTCCATCGGTAGCAGTGTTTGCAGTGGCCTGCGTAATAGTTTGCACTCGTCGTTATCTTCTTTATCGCTCGAATATACAGACTTGGATTTTTCATCGGAGTCTAGTTGCGAAGAAGGCAGTTCCTACGCCATGGAAGAAACCCCTAGCTGGAGACTTTCCCCTGAAGAAAACCAAAGCGATTGGACCATAACTATTGAAAGTGTTCCAGAGGGTACCATCTCGAGATACCATGTTCACAAGAAAGCGTTAATCAACAATGGGCACAAAGGTAGTGATTTTTTCGCAAGGCTCATCAACGAAACCGATATTACAGAAACAAAGCCAATCAAGATTCACGAAGATGCTGCCAGGCTCATCGAAAATATGCTTGATTACATGTATGCAATTGACGACGAACTGGATATATCCAGTGACTCAGCTATCGGACTTCGCCATCTTAGTCAATTCTTTGGTATTAAGGGATTGGCGAGGCGTGTTAACTGTTTTATCAACGAAGACGTTTCATTGGAAAATATGGAATCCTATTTGGAAACCACATCTGCATTTGATGATATGCAGACAACAACTCTTCTTGCTGATCGCTGCGCGGAAGAAATCGAAAACATTAGTCCTTTGTCATCACTAGTCGGGGAAATGGATCCTAGTTTCATTTTGTCCATTGTTTCTAGTCGAAAATTCAACCGAAGGAAGCACAGCAGTCACATGAGTCACATAATGACCGGCTATTTCATCACACAGCGAGGTGCCATTGACGGGCATGTGTTCCAAGAGTTGACTGCGGAAGAGTACCTCCCATATGTTGACCAAGAAGCAGCTCTTCMATTGCTTATTCTTGAGGCCGCACTTGTTCGAGAGAGCACAGACGAATCAACTCCGTTGTCGTCTTTGCAGCTGCGATGCATTGAAGGTATTCTTCCGATGTTCAGCAGCTCGGCAAATAATGACGTCAGTGATGCCGAAAAGAAATCGAGACAAACCGCGATGCTCAAAATTCCCAAAAAGGTTCTGGCAGAAATCCTCTCGATGTTGCCAATCAAATAACATCGTAGCATTTAAAATTGCAGCACTAGCTACGAGACAACACGAGACCGAGTGAATTGTCACTACCGCCCTGAAAAATAGTCGAAAAAAAAGTAATAGTAGTCATGAATGTTAGAATTTTTGATTGCATGAAAATAATGCAGATGGAGTGCCTTCTCATTTCTGCATTGAAGCTACACTCCAATACAGCAATTCTGTATTCAAAGTTTTTGAAGAAGTAGAAGTTTAACGTATTAGAAGTAATGGATTGTTTTGCTACAAGTGGTTCTCTTCAAATAATTTTGAAAAAGTTGCGTGAAAAATTGGTTAGCAAACGTACCGTAACGGGGGGGGGGGGGCTACGGTACTCGAATGAGCTTTTGATGCTGCCGCCCCCCTTTCAGTCAATTTTGAGCCAACTTTTTCCCGTCGCCAAATATTGCCACTCGCAAATGCACACTCAAAAAAAAAATAGGGAAGAAAATATTTACTTTTTTTGAAATAGGATTTGTACCGGAGTCTACACAGATTTATGAAGAGAGTAAACTGATTCACTTAAAACGAGGCGGTCGGAGGAGCGGAGACGGGAAAAGTTATGCTCTCTCCTGACTCATTTCAATTTCAATCAACCGTATCGGTTTTTACGAGATAGTCTTGTTGGGTACTGGTGCTCGTACGTACCCAGACTCGTACCTCATATTGTACTTCTTCCGCAATTGAGAATGGGCGTCATGTTGACACCGAATGCTCGAGAGACAATACGGTTACTTGAGAGGATAGCATACTATTCCATGTGATTGAGAAAAACCGGAACCAAGATCCACTCCACAGCACGATGAGACGGACGCCGATAGCGTCTGCCCTGAGCGGAAAGAGTAGAACGGGAAACGGAAAGAAGGGCAGCAGGAGCATCGACAATAAGAATGGTTCCGCAGCCAGCCAAACCAGCGTGTGCAAGTTCTGTGCCAGAAACCCGCCTGCCCTACTAGTACAGTTGCCCGTTCTCGGTCGAAAAAAGCGTGCCGCAACGCCCTATTGTTTGAGCTGTTATTACACGACATCGGCGGTTCGACAAGATCCTGAAAAGTATGTCACTATTTTCGACGAGGAAGAAAAGGCAAAACAACTACCAGCCATCCAGAATCTTTTCTCCGAATGTTTTCTGGAATTGCAACATGAACTTTCGGAGGAATCTGTTCGTGCTTTTAAGAAACAAAAAAGTGATCCTCTGGCCATGCTCAGTTTTTCTTCTGGTTCGTCGTCGTCCTCGTTCGCATCCAAGAAACGGAGAAAGCTGGCTTCAAACAAGGGACAGGCACCGGATCCAAGAACGAAACAGGAAGGAAGGGCAAACGACGGGGGATTTCTGAGGGAGATTGACCTTCCCGAACGCCTGAAGAGAACGCAAAAACAGCAGGAGGAATTGCAAAACCAACAACTTGCTAGAATGAACCAGGCGGCATCTGCTGCACGACGTGCAAGTAGAATCGCTAGCCCATTAACAAAGTCTACAATGAATAAGCGGCGCAAAGGATCCGGGAAATCCATTTGGAATCTGGCTATGGACAAGGGTAAGGACGGTAAGCTTTCTACGTCTTCCGAGAGTTATCAGGCTGCGGCGATGGATCCGGCTACAATGAACGTCTCGTGTACGTGCGGTAGCAAAGATGTGAGAAGTTTTGGCAACATAACAAGCCGCAACCAGGATGTCAGAAAAGGGGAAATTTGGGGCACTGACCGAGGGGATGAAGTCATTAACAGATTTCAATGCAACATATGTGGGAGAACATGGAACGAGGCAGAGTGACTCATTTCGGTTTCATTTCGTTGATAGCGAGACGAAGTTAGAAATTGTGCACCATGAACTGACTGTAGCTTGGAATAGATTTTTGAAAGTAGGCATATCGATAATTCGAAAAATCTGACTCGGGGTGCTTTCGTTTCTCAAAGAATTGAAAGAAATGTTCATCTCACGTGTGTGCGGGATCGTTGTCGATGAAACGCTGTCGCTATGGTCAACAATTTTGCATGGCAGAAAAATCGTTGATACTTGAATACATGCGATCATCACGCTCTGGAAGCTCTTAATGTTTGTTGCAGTTCTGAATGAGTTCTGTTGATTCAGATGGATTCAGATAAATGAAATCAGATCAATGCATTCTTCAACAAAGTTCCATCCTTTTTTCTGCGAGAGCACTCAGGTGATATTACAATCCTTTCAAAGATTCATGCTCACCCATGCTACTGTTACAACATGATGGAGCGTGAGATACATCGAATGGAGTAGAATACTCAAATTTTGGGGCATTGTACTACTTTGTCTCCACCTTCATTTTCAATGGGCATCAAAAATGATAATAGCAACGAGCACGCCATTACTTACAGCTATTGAATCTGTCTTCTTAGTCTCAAACACATTTTGGTTCTCCTTCTTGGTTCGAATTTTTAGTACGTCGTTCAGAGCCCTGGAAAAGTAAACATCTTTTGTCCCTTCTTCGTCTCTTGAGCAGTCAATTACACAAAGTGTCAGCAGATGTAGAACAAAGTACGAGCAGCATGGATCACTGAAGTAACTCACATGACCCAAAACATGAAACCCCGAGGAGCTCGTCTGGAATCCACCAATGCATTGTAAGCAATACCGATCCTTGTGGGATCAAAATAACAGTGTTTTTCGTTGTCGTCCTTTGCGTCATCGTAAGCGCCCCAGCCATTTGGAAAACCAAACACAAGCTTCGAAAGAGGAAGCTTGACCATTTGACTAGGATACTCCAGAGATGGATCCTGATTGAAGTCAACAAAGAAAGATTCTTCTTTGTTGGAAACAAGATCGTCTACATAGCGTTCAAGATAAGTCTCAGGGGCTACATGGTTATGAAAGACTTCCAAAGCTGCTCTTGAGTAGCTCTCATAAAATTGAACCGATACAAAGTCAATGTAATCACCGTACTTGGAAAGTAAATACGCGTAGACGTTGTGCCCAAAATAGTGGAATTCGCCGTGCCAACCGCGATCCGGATCCGTAAAGTTGACATACCTCGAAAATCTGCTTTCTTCGATATCCAGATAGCTTTGCGGAGGAGCCATTCCCACGATGAATCCATCCCTCTTTGCCAACATACTAAAACGACCCATACTTTCGAGACATTCGATCGAAAATACATTTGTGGGATTGTCAAGAGTATCGTGGCCTTCCAAGTCCCAATCGACGCCATGGAATGTACCCCCTACGAGTTCCTTCCATGAGTTGTACATATCTTCTACACTCAACTCGTCGGGAAGGTGGGGCCCATTCCATCCTCCGAAGGAAACAAGATGGACTGTATCGTCGTATCCCTCGGCATCCAACTGAGTAATCATTTGCTTCGCACAGAAGAGGTCAAAAGTAGACGTGCATTTTGCCTTGTTGTCTTCGGCAGCAATGGTCATTTCAACAAAGGACCAGATCACTACGTTTACACCATCTCGGACGGCCTGGAGCACCTGTTCGGAGCACCGCGTGGCATATCCCACGAGTATCTTTTCCGGGAGACTTCTCGTCGCCTTCGTCATCCCATTATCTTTTCTTTGGTGACGATTCTCTATGGAAAAAGAGAAGACAAAGCTGCAAAAAATTGATATCAAAATGACAACAATGTATGCGAAGCTTCGGTTGATAGAAGAAGTTCTGCCGTAGGTTGGCATCTTGGTGCTCGTTATCTTCTTTTTTTTACAATATGGTTGTTCACCATCCGACGATTTAAAATTGCTAGTAACAAAAACAGGAACAAATCTTGTCCAAATTGGAAAAAAAATACGAGCCTAGAAAAAAATCAAACAAAATCAAAATTCGCAAAATATCTAAATATTAAATTTCCCATAGCCTCCTCAGCGATGGAAGTCAAAAGCACAGCCTCAACAAAACGGCTCCGTGCAAATTGAAAAAACGTCAAGCTCGTACGGTACGCCAACCTAACACACGGTGTTCAAGACAGCCTCAGAGAACTTCCGACTAACCCATCCTGTTTTGTGATTTTGTGATCGGTACATCTCCGTTCGTTCAAACCGAAACTGAGAATATAATTTGGAAYGGTAAGAGAAGCATGAACTGTAAATGAGTATGTAGACGAGTTGCATGGATTATCGACCTGAAGGCGAAAGGTACAATCAATGAAAGGCTACCAGTAACTTCCGACGAGTAAAAATGAAATGCAGGGACTGAAACAGATGTATATATGTTTAGATGTGGGTTGAAATTGATGAACAAATCCAAAGACTCATATTATCTTTTGTTTTCAATTCTTTTCTGTGCGATTCACTGCTTCGTTCTGACGAAAACGCTTTGAAACAATATTTTCAAATAATCCAGATGGCCGAAGAGCAACAGAACGTTCAATACTTCGATGCCAAGTATTTGGACCCCAAGTTCCCCATCGTCAAAGCAGACCCTACGGTCGACGATGTCGTGAAGGGAATGAGGACTAGTGATTATCTATTTGTGTCAGGCGTTATGGCAGGRACCTACGCCTACGGATTTCTGCTGGGCAAGCCCGTCCGTGGTCCCACCGCCGTTATGTGCGCGTCCGCTGGCTTTACCTTTGCCATGTTCCACACCATGCAATCGGTGCGATCTCGATTCCTGGGATACCGCGAAAACGACCGTGAGGTCCGAAAGTACGGACTGGCTCCCTTACAACCACGACGAATGGAGATCTACGACAAGCGAAATCCGGTACGCCAAGCTATGTTGACAAAGCCCGCCATCAACTGGGACACTTATTCCTAGAGCRAAAAGCGATTCATCGATAATTTCCTTTAAAACGAAATCAACTTCTCTTTTGCACTTCCGTKTATGATAATAGCAACATAAAGAGTAATCTATTTCCGAATTGCAAGTAATTCAATGTGTGAATCTCCTCAAGAGACATTATGGCAGCGCGTAAACAAATAATAAAGAAACGGTGGAAGATCTCGTCAAACCATAACGTTGTATACCGTTCAGCTCTCTTATTTATACGTGGTAGACATAGGTTTAAATTATATCAGACAGAATTTACTATTCAACAGACTACACTATTAGACTCGTGGAATGAAACGTTCAAAATCATTGCGTGCGTTTTGTATATTCCAAAGTGTAGCTGCCGTGTGTACGCTTGGGTTACTGACGATGACCTAGAGGCGATAAAACAGAAAAGCAAACACGAAGAATGTTGAGCGATGGATCGAAAAGCAAATCGAGATTTAAGGATAGAAGAAGCACCCGATAGTAGATCGAGAGGGTAGGAAACCCCCCCACCGCTTTTGTTTGCTTACCATGATATATGTGTTGACCGTGAACTGGTCTATGTAGGCCGTAAATCGAGAATTCTGCACCTGCATTCCTTGAAACTGCGATTGTGCCTTGCCACAGCTTAGCTTGAATTGTTTGATGATGTTCGATATTTTTTCGAACCGGTGCGCATCGAAGTGGGGTGTCCTGGAAAGATGCCGCTGCATCGGGTTGGGCGTGATCGCCGCAGAGTCCAGATCGGCAGGTATTTCGCTCGGCGGATACCCCAGACCCGGGTTCGGCAACCCCCCGGACGAGCCGGCCGCCGTCATGGCGTCCACCGAGTTCGGTACCCCCGTTTCGCCACCCGCGTCTTCTCCGTTCGGGTGGGAGGGACTCATGCCGGTGTTGTCGTGGGACCCATTGGTGTCACCGGGATGGTCCATCAGCGACGACGACGGGGTTGCGCCGGGGCCGTCCTCGAGCAGGCCGTCGTCCGGCCCGCTTCCCGCCTGGGCCTGGGAAATCACCAAGAAGGTGGCCCGCTCAAAGAGGACGACCTCGTCGGCGTCGCAAATCCCACAAAACTTGTTCAGGTGGGCCTCCAGCAACCGGATGTTCGGGATGAGGTTGGTCACGATTTCCGACCACGCCTTGTAGAGCGTCTCGTCCCAGATGGAGGTTCCGAAGCACTGGAAATTTTCCACTCCGCACGAGAGGCACGATTCTTCGATCAGCTGTTTTCTGTCTTCCAGGATCGCCTCTCGGTCCTCTTCCGCCACGAGATCCATCTTGTGGATCAGCAAGAAAATGCGTGCATCGGGGGAATTTTCCTCGATCGCCTCCAGGACGCCGCAGAAATGATCAAAATCCTTCTCGGGGGTTTCCGACTCGATGTCGAACACATAGATCAGCAGTTCCACGCCGCGAAATATCGTTTCTCGATCCCGTTCAAAGTACGACTCGTAAAAGGCGTCCTGTCCACCGCAATCCCAGAGGTTCAGCACGAGGTCGCCGAGGAACCTCACGTGGTGGTGTTCTACGTCGAGGGTGGGGGACAAACGAGTTGTGTCGCGTGCCAAGTAATTGGCAAAGATAATACTTCGGTCGCAAGAGAGAAGGAACGGATACGGMAAGGTGAGCATTGGTAGCAAGCCCAGAGCCGGGATTTCTTCTTCCTGCTGTMCGATCCAACCGRACGCAGCAAAGACACACGGGGCGAGGARTTGGAGCAGGATCAGGAAACTCACCTTCGCATGGAAGTTTTACCACTGTGGGCTTTGCCCATCAAAAGKACCTTCTTCTTCGCCATGGTGAACAAACGATTTCGCTCCTCTGCCCGCCAATTTTTTCAATCCTTGTGTGGTCCTGTGTCTCGGCTGTGGTTGTTCTGGTGTGATCGCTGCTGCGTTCAAGGGTAGGCGGAATCGGAACSGCGCACGGGATAGTACCAGTACGATGCGATTGTGGTGTCGTAGCGGTGCGGCTAGGCTACCTCCAAGTAGCTTGTTGGTGCTCTTTGATTGTTGATGCCGTCTCGAGATGTGATACATGTGATTGCTAGGCTGCTTCGCAGATCGCAARTAGAAGAGCTAAAATTAAAAATATCAAACAATTACTACTATTAGGGTTTTTAGTTTTCATGCCGCCCTTCATGGGTTTTGGCTGTTTTATCCTTTCCTTAAGGTTATTGTTGGGGGCTCCCTTCACTGTACGAACTTGTAACTTGKACCGTACTCGAGTTTCGATTCCGAATGGCAATATAGTAGTACTCATATGTACAGTACGTATGTATCGGCAATGCTATCGATGCGTAGGCAATTYCTTTTCGTCGGATTTCCAGAGCAGAATGCATTGCTGCATTCCGAGAGGAGGCATGCCCCTGGGAGTCGAATGGGACTCGATAATCTCGGCGTTTGGTGTTTGTTCCTCGTGCTGCTCTATTCGAACGACGAAACAGCCATGCGGTGTGGGGCATCGCAGGGGTCGCGGGCTCGTGCGGTTCCATGCCATGCGCCTTTTTTTTTCCCTTTGCCGGGCCAACCCACCCGGCGCTAGCCGAATCCCTTTCCTCGGGTGGGCGACTCGCCCGGTCCCTCCCACGACGCAATGATGTCGCCGAGGATTGCGTCGGTTTCGTCGTCGTAATAGCCGTCGTCATC